TTTATTGTTAAATATATCAGCTCATTGATCTGCTTTTCCTTGTGTGAAGGTTGAAGTGTACCTTTCCGTTCGTGTTTTTTCAATAACATATTCAGTTGCGAGTCAGCGCTGTGGTTTGTCCCTTCTTCTCATGTGTCCGCGTGGTGGTGCGCTGCGTTAAAATATGTTGAAGTACTGTCACAAACTGGCCCCGCTTTCAGATCTTTTATGCAATTTTTTGTTTACAAAATTTTTTTCTTGCTTGATTGGTGTGTGGGGTTTAACACCCCAAAACCACGATATGATTATGAGAGACGCCGTAGTGTTAGGGCTCCGGAAATTTAGACCACCTGGGGTTCTAACGTGCACCCAAATATGAGCGCACGGGCCTACAACATTTCCGCCTCCATCGGAAACGCAGCCACCGCAGCCGGTATACAATTAATCCCGTGACCTGCGGGTCAGCAGCCGAGTACCTTAGCCACTACACGACTGCGGCGGGGTTTTTTTTTTTTTTTTGCTTTGCGCGATAGTGACCAGAGACGCCAGTCGCGGCGGAGAAGAACTACGATGCACGTAACCCTCGTTGGGATCGCATAGTGACTTCTGCTCTAAAAAAAAACTAGATCTGTGTCGTTCTAGGGGTGCCACCTTCTTTCTTCATGTTTACTTATCTCCTTTTCTTTTCCTTTTTGCGATTTATTTTTTGCACTGTTGTATTTCCAGTTATTTCATTCTGTATCTTTTGCTCTCTCCTTATCGCTTTTTCTTTCTTGCTATCTTCTCCTCTCTCTTTTTTCATTTGTTTATATTTCTTTCTTTCATTTCTGTTTTTCTCTCTTTCTACTTTTCTTTTTTCGTCTTTGTTTTTTTTCTCTTTCTCACTTCCTGCTTCTTTCTATCTTTTCCTCTCTATCTTTTCAATTGTTTCTAGTTCTTTCTTTCATTCCTTCTTTTTCTCTCTTTCTCCTTTTCTTTTTTCGCCTTTTTTTATCTCTTTCTTTCTAGCTCCCTCTTTTTTGCTATCTCGTTCTCTCTTTTTTTACTTCTTCCTTTCTCTTCGTTTTATTTTTTCTCTTTCTTTACTTCTTCTTTTTTTTGTATTTGTTTTCTCTCTCTTTCTCTCTTCTGTTTTCTTGTTATGCCATTCCCTTCTCTTTTTGCTTCTTTCTATCTCTTTTTCCCGCCTCTTTTTCTCTTTCTCCTTTTATTTTCCTGCCTCTATTAGTTTTTTCTCTATTCTTCGCTTCCTGCTTGTTTGCTATCTTTTTGTAACTTTTTCTTCAAATGTTATTCTAGTTTCTTTATTCAATTTGTTTCTCTTGATTTCTTTTTTTTCAGTCTATGATATGCTTTTCCCTCTCCCTTTTTCTTTACTTTGGTTCCCAAGCTACAAATACGCTACGCTCTGCTAGACAGCCTGAATAGCTAAGTAGTTAGTTAAGTTTAATTTCGTTTACCCTACGCGCGTTCCCTAGCGAAGCATTTTTCAGGGAGGTTTTTCTCTTTCTTTATAACTTCCTTACGGGCTTTTGGTTTGCTTCTCTCTTCCCCTTTCTTGTGTGCTCTTTTACTCTATGCTTGTGCTCTCACCATTCGGGATTATTATAAATCAAGCCATAGAACGATTTGCCTATATTCTATTCCACATACTCGTGTATACGACGGTCATGGTGGTAGGGCCAACACTTTACGACCAGCTTCAACAGCTCAACTGTTAAAGAGCTTGTAATGGAATAAGGCCATGTTCAAAGTGTGGCCTTTCTACAAAAAAAAAAAGCACTCCCATCCAAACAGTTTATGCGATCGCTAGCCGCCTATGCACGGGTGTTTAGGAAAAAACGGCGACACCGGAACGGTCCCCGAATCTACTTGCTTCCCTTTCATTTCCCACCTTTCGTTGAGGCACCGACCTAACTAATCAGGTATGTTAAGACTTACGATATAATATTCGGCTCAAAACTGTAACCGTGTTCGCTTGGGTTGGGATTGTATGATGATGCCGCACTTTCGTCGCAATTAACATCGGCGTCCCACAAGCGGCGTCCAACATTGGAATAAGTCATTGATAGCGGGTATATTGCTCGTGAACGTATTTTATCGACCATTAATAAATAAGGAAGCAGATTTGTTGCACGTTGGATTTGCACTTGGTGACGACGCTGCGAAGACTTCTGAGCGTATGCTGAGGCACCGAAAGTTGACGGTGCCTCCATGCTTACCCATTTGTGCCGAATCGCCTTAACGCGCGCTGAAGAGAATGGTGTCACACATCATATCAAGCACCATCGTACCGTACGCCGTAAAGCGCTGTGTTTGACGGTTTACACTGTCTCCTTCGTCGTCAAACTGCGGCAACGTCAGCTTGCCCCGCTGTCTTTTAAGTAGCGCCGATAGGTCAACTTCAGCGGGCAAGTTTTTCTTATCAAGGGTCCGCTTGAGTGCACGCTTTGTGCTTTGTGCAAACGAATGTCTATGCGTCTTGGTAGGCGGTGGTGTGTTCTGCAGCAAAAGCTAGGTACCAGATCACAACAAGGGCCGATTTGGCCGCCTTAGTGTTCCACCGCCAACACTGATGTCTGTAACCACTATTGCGTGAAATAGGAAGAAATTAAATAAACAAACAATACCCAGTACATTCCACCTTGCGATAACCAAGATTTAGAATTGGATTCAAACCCGGGCTTTCTGCGTGGCCAGCCAGTATTTTACCTCAGAGCCACCCAAGTACTTCAAACTTCAGCACAAGTGGACCATAGTTACTGTCAGCGAGAAACGAGAGTAAGGGAATAGGGGATAAAATTTAAAGGAACCGATTAAATTGAAGTTATGGGCCCTCACCGTAGCAGTCAAGTATTCGACTACAGAGCTACGCTGCCGCTTGAATGTTTTTCGCAATCTCATTCTACACAGGCGTTACGTAGGTGAAGAAATTATGCCAACATATGTGGTATAACGTCGTTGAAGATGTAATAAAAATTAGGCATCACATAATTTGAATTGAGGTACAAGTGTCTCTTTGAAGTGTTCGCATCCATTCTAAAGGCACAGCCATTGTTCTTCACTGTAATGAGCCATAGTACAGACAAAGCGCACATAATGACTTGCAAATGTGTAGCAGACAGCTTTCTTATTTACAGAATGACCATTAGTAGTAAGTGGGTGCGCCCCTTTTTCTTTAAAGTTGCGAATATTTATGACGCAGTGCCTTGCTTGTGCAAATTGCCCAGGAGAGTCTACAATGAGCTCTGGTACAGCCGTTTTTCAAATTTTCGCTGTGATTGTGGTGGTTCTTCTGCCCAAGCAAGGCGAATACTTTAATGTTGATCATGTAGGCTGACAGGTGGGCCACGAGTTGAGCCAGTAAGTAGTCGACGTCTTTGCGAGACGTACCTTATAGGTTATAATGAATTGAGTTTTGCGCAAAACATTACAAATAATCACCTGTAGCTAGATACGCCATGTATCTTTGTATTATATTTTATTTTTTCAGAATTGAACGGTCTTGGTAAATCAGTTAGACTTTTATGTAATAGATTCTTGTTAATTATTTACCTTTTTTCTTAATTTGTAAGCAGTCATCTACGGCGATTCTACTCGCAAAAAATGCGCGACCGTTTTGAATTGAACACCCCTCCCCTCCACGTGTCAGACAGGAGTCCCTACAGGGCGTTTGCTTCACCTTGGCCACGGTGTAATATTCGAACAATTTTGTATCTTACACCGCGATCGTGGCCTTAGCTGCAACGCCTTAGCTGCAGTGCCTTAGCCGAGCACTAGCACCTGCGAAGAGCGACGCGTCAAACAGAAAATCACTGCGCAACTGTGAGCTGGTGCGCAAAGTTGATATAGCTTGACATTCGGTAATTCTCCCTTCCATGGTACCCCCTAAATGTTTCATAGAGGAGGTTGCGTTGAACAAAAGTAACGCAAATAGGAGTTTTAAATGCGAAGCACTTCCTTGCGTACCGCAATTAAATGTTTCTATCTATCTATCTATCTATCTATCTATATATCTATCTAGAAAGATCACTCAATGAGGTTTTGTAAAGGCGTCTAGGTGCAGCTTCACCCACCACAGCCTCTGTGAAATAGTAGAGCACCCGCCGCTGCTGTAGAGGCGGAAAATGGCTGCCTTCGGATACCCACGGTGGACCGGCGCGAGGGCACTTTCAGACTCGTGAACATGCAACAATGTGAGAGCACCGGACGCGTTATTTGAAGGTCGTAGATTTGATGCTTTCCCCCGGCAAATTATCTTTTCGCCCACTTTTCGTTCTTCAAATTTACACCAAAATTACTTACAATGACTTACCCTATTTGTTTCTTCTATTTTTTTGTCTGCTAGCACTAATTACTTGCATGGGAGTTATCTATACGAGTGTCTCACAGAATGTCTCCTAGTCTAACATGGTAGTGTTTTTTGGTGTGTTTTTTCCACGTCACTGCTTCTTCAATAATTACAATGTTGGCGAATGCATGTAACTTTTTGCGGTACAGTAAAGCTAGAGGTTCTTACGCAGAGGTTTCGAAATTCGCAGACACAACCCATGTCTGCCTTTCTGCGATTGTAATATCAGCATGAATGAATGAAGGAGATGTGGAAGTGTTGCACCAACGGCACATCCGCCGACGCACTCGAGTCTCATCGACTCCGGAGTTCAGAGCACACGTATAGTTGCTTGAACTGGTGACACATGGTGATCCGCTGGGCGCAATGCTTCGCTTTCGTATTCTTCCGCTGGATTTCGAGAGCTCGTTTATGCCAGGGCGAAAAGAAAGTTACGTCGCAGGCACTACTTGTTTATTTGGGCAAGTAGGTCCACGTTATGAATAAACTAAGCCAGCACGAAAAACATTAAGCACCCAGATGAGGAACGAACGTATCAGTACACATCTTCCCACAGCGGTATTGCTTTAATCATCTTTGTGCTCGTTGTATTTTGCGCTGCATCACCGGATTCACCGGATGTTATCGGGAAGTTGCGGAGTGTGGGAATTGATAGCGCTCTGAAAAGTCGCCGCCTGCCGCCGTGGGCTCTCATTGCAAGCGGGAGACATGGAGGTCGCAGTGTGGCCAGCGAATTTTATCCTCATCTTGCTGCTTTTGTGTCCGTTAACAGGTAAGATTCAGCGCTGTCCATGTAGAGGCTTGTGCGTGGATTAAACGGTTACCTTACTGTTGAGCGAAAGTATTGTTTTTGGGGCGATTTAGCAGCTCAGTCAACGATCTCCGCACTCTTTTACGTTCGACTGGAGGCTCGCATGGGGACGTGTAATTCCTTTTAAAGTTGGTACTTGTAAAAAGCAGCATTTTATTGAACTCAAAATTTCTTGTTTTTTCTTCATTACTCTACTCGATTTTCTGTAGACGCAATTTTTATGATAATGTTTGCTCAGATAACTTGCCTTAAAGTGTTTGTTTTTTATTACTAACAAAGCCCAATTTGGTTGGTTGCAGACTGGCGAAGTATTCTGTATGTCGAAAACTCTGACTTTTTCAATAAAATTTTCTAAGCCCTCCTTAGGCAATCGCCACTAGAACAAGGACCCTAAGAACATGGAACAGTGCATTTTGCGTGTTTTTCTTCGTCGGCGTCCCACTTATTGTTGGGTTTTCTAACAGTACTTGTCAATTCAATTTTATCTGCCGAAGATATGACCGGGATTTTTCGCCTACGTCCAACTTAGCACCTTTGGGTTTAACTCCTTTATCTGCCAGGCGCCATTCTGAATGCTTAAAGCTCCTGTACACCTTGATTAATTCGCCGCGCTTGCCCTCGCTCCACAGGTATCTGCAGTTTGCCACACCACCCTCTGTTCACACCAGGAGTCAACATGCGCTAAATATTACGCCACTTCACCCCAAAACTGATTTGTTTAAGTATAGTTTTTTTCCCTTCACTATGGAGCTCGGGAACTTTCTACCCGGCGATACCCGCGGGCTCCCTTTGGAGCAGTTTTTGAGTGCAATATTACATGCGTGTTAAGTAGATATTTCCATGTTCTTTTGCTTTCTGTGCTCTTGCTCTGTTCATTCTGTATCTTGTGTAGTACTATGAACCACAAATTTGTGCCATATGCTCATGTTTTTGTTTCTGCTTGTTATCACCTGATCATTTGTATATCCACTCCTGCAATAGCCCTAATAGGGGCTGCAGTATGTATAAATAAATAAATAAATAAATAAATAATATATTCGTTATGTCACGTCGAGTTCATTCTGGAGATGAAGATATTTCACAGTAACGAGCTTTTCTTTACGATGTAATGGCCTGAGCTAAAATGGCGAGAATTTTCACCCATGCTATTTGAATATGATCTCCTAAGCTGCTACGTCTTCAACAGATTTGAGCGTGCATGTAGTTAACTTTTCGTGAGTTAACAATGTGTAACGTAATGTAAAATGAAAAAGTTTTGGACTGTATAGAAGCAACGTACCTAACTCGATTTCCCAAGGGACGTGTTTATTTAGGTCCTACAAAACCTTCACACTGAGGTCGCCTCTACTGAAGGCAATATTTTTTATAATGGTGTTGTGGTAAATAAACTCAGAAGGACAGATGCGCCTACAGCTGACGTGTATACGTAATTGCTTAGTATTGAATGTACTTGTACTTTAGACAATAATTTTGAATGAAAGGTTAGGAAGCAAGGAAGCAACAGGAGAAAAAGAAAGTGCAGCGGTGGGAACGAATCTAGAAGAACTGGCAGGCTGCTCTGCACTAGGGAAAGGGAAAAGGAGTTGTAAAGATAAAGTCAGAAAGAAGGATTTAGCACGCACGTGCCAAGTCACACTCCTCACAGAGATGATAGCTCCACGAGTCTATAGCCACTGGTGCAAGCCTGAAGTGTTTCAGCACAGCCTTCAGCACCTTTGTCCTAGGTGACCTCTTATGACAACATTTCAAAATGGTGCCATGCCGTCCGCGGTCTGTGGTCTATGTGAGCAAGAGTGACCACAATGGTCTTCTTGCCAGTACCACAGTTGCAACAAAAAGGGTCGCAAGCCATTAAGATGCGAGAAGAAAATTACTTTTTGAAAGCCCTTTTTAGCCACATTAATGGCAAAGCAGGGCGGCGTCGTTTCAGTGTATACTCCAATAGGTGTCGTAAAGTGTTCAGGCACGGGTATAGTGCTCGTTATGTGGTCAACTTGATATTATCTAAGTGGAGAGCGCGATTTCACGTGCGTGCGTTTGAAGATCATCGCCAGTGAAATGTCACTTGGCATCTTATTTTGAATAAACTATGGCGGAGGTACCTAATTTAGAAGACCATCTTCTCATCCGCCATCATTAAGTGAAATGGCTCACAAATTTCATATTCGTTGTTTTGACCGGTCTTTTAAAAGAAGTTGCAATTTTACCGCTGTCGTTTTGTTAGGTATTTATCCAATATTTCTGTGACTGGTTCAAGCGTTCACATGTACTCTCGAGAAAACAATAACAGATTACTGTTGTATCGGTTCTAACCGAGCGATTTCATTAATCTTCGACACAATTTCTAGGTGGACAATATATGCGTGATGGTTGTGGAGAAGAACAGATATTAAACTGCCTTACGGAAAAGTTTACGCGTGTTGGAATGGTCTTTGCATTACCAGCAATGGTAGCGCTAAACGCCGACAACATTTACAAGAGCGTCTGCAGGTAAGTTCATCTTTAAAAAGCAAGTCCTTAATGTGAAAAAGTCTTGATTACATTCGTGAAGCTTTATCATATTCACGATGTGTACGCTTACTGGCGCGCAAAGCCATTGAGATTCAGTATTATTTTAGTAATATTTTTTTTTTTTTTGCTACGTCAGCAGCCGTTAATATCAGCCTGCAATTCTCTTACATTTTCACCATCATAGTGATTGTCTACTCAGCATACCTTGTGTCCACTGCAGGCCAAAGACCCCTCTCTATGACACCGGACTTGACCTGTCTTGTCGGTTCTCTATGCATGTAATCCCTGCGGAATTTCACTGCATAACTAAAGCTAACTCTACTTTGCTCGGCGGCATTTCTGTTAATTTGGTATTCATTCTGTATTTCTAATGTTCATCTTTTCGGCGTTCATGAGTTCATATAAACGGTCTAAGTCTGTTGATTATAATCTGGAATGTAGGCGACCCTGCTTTGTTCACTGGGTCTTGGGATATCGTAATGTCAATCTGCTACACATTTATAAGTTACATCTAATGCTTTTAATAAAGAAGTTTATTGCGCCATGAACCAACCGGCGGAATTTTTTTAGAATCAGTCAAGTACGATCGGAGTTACAGAAATAACTAACACGCTGTGATTGATTTCTGTATCCTCTCTCTCTCTCTCTCTCCGACGAGCGCACTAGAAGTTAGGAAGGGATGGAGGGCAAAGGGGAAGGAAGTTACGTCACAAGCACGTCATGCCTTTCAGCACTTCTCCTTATCTTCAGTAAAGGAGAACTGCACGGTAATTAATTATTTGATTGATTCGTGGAGTTTAACATCCCAAAACCACCATATGATTATGAGAGACTCCGGAAATTTCGACCACCCGGCGTTCTGAACGTGCACCCAAATCCGAGCACCCGGGCCAACAACATTTCCACCTCCATCGGAAATGCAGCCGCCGCAGCCGGGATTCAATTCCGCGACCTGCAAGTCAGCAGCCCAGACCTTAGCCACTAGACCACCGCGGTGGGGCTGCACGGTAATGTCGTGGACAGCGCCTCCTCTATAGTGGAGGCGCCGGTCGCGGACTTCGGAAATGCATTTCGCGTAAAGTCGGGCATCGTTGTCCTCCGCTACACGACCTAAACGGTATTAACAAACTTTTAGTCTTTGATTACGTTCACGTTTTCAAGTGCCCGTCCAGCTAGGAGATTTTTTTTTTACTATTATTGGTGCGCGGAGCCCTGCCCGTGCACGGAAACGAGCGGCAGCGCGGCGGAGGAAAGGAAAAACGCGCAATGTACACCCCCGTTTTCATTTTCCTGCCCGAGAAGGCGCTGCCTGTCCAGACTTGCAGCGCCGTCAAGCATTGCTTTGGGAGCCTATACGCTTCACTCACACTCATGCCACAGGCACTATTGGTCTCTTTTTTTCCTTAAATTTGCTATCTAAGGCTTCCGGCATGAAATATAACGCTTAACACTAACAAAAAGCACCAATATTTTGTGGGGTCAACGAGGCGGATCTTAAAAAGCTCACTGAGAGGAAGCGCTTAGTTCACATCTGCCAGGTGCTCTACCATGTGCCCCAACGTTCGCTGCTATTCGCAATCTTCTAATGAACTCCACCAGTGGTTCTCATTATCTATCACGAGAGCTATTCGGCATATCTTCAGTGAAGTTGTGCTCTCATACCACGCGTATCCAATACGATTCCTCTTTCACTAGAACGTTTGATTTGTATCCTTAAAATGTTTATGAGTATTTGCAAAACTGGAAGTGAAAGTTCGATAAGAATGTGCTTTTTTTATCCGCTTTGTCTCCGTAAAAAGTACGTTACTTCATCATACTGAATAATGAATGTAGGTAAGGGTTCGACCGGATATGTTTGAAAGACAAGCAGAAGCGTCGCTTTGCGCTGGTGCTACTAAAAAAAAAACTAGGTTCGCGTGCGACGTCATAGCGCATGCTTCGGCTGCGAAATAATGCATAAGATATAGCCTAACAGGTGGCGCTTAAGATCACTCGCTTTAGCCTGGCTTCTCGGGTTTGCGAAAGAAGACTGTACTTGGCGCTCTCGTATGCGCGTGCTCGGAAATGATGTTGCATGGTGGCGCAAAGTTGCGCGACTTCACCATAGCGTCTCGAAACCACGCTTACCTTCTTGTGTTGCACCTACATTTTGCGCCTGCTGGGAGTGGCCCAGCAAATCAATATTTGCAAGCTAATACACATCAACCTTTCCAGTGTGAATGTCCAGGAATGTACTTTTGGGCACGCTCGTGAATACTGCCCCAAGGACAAGAAAATGGAGCTAGAGCTTCTGGAGAGTTCGATGGTGGAGGGGTTTAAAGCCCTTTGCGAGAACCAGGGATCACTCCTGAAGAGTAAGTAATAACACAATCCTTGGCATTTTCTATATTGTTTAGTGCATAATGGACCGAATTCTCCTATAGTTACTTAACTTTTGCATCCCCTTATGGGAAACGTCCTCTTGCATTGCTGAAAAAGATATTAACTTTCGGCTTCTCTTTCGTCCCCACCTATCTTTTCGTATTTATCTGTCTATTTATCCGTCTGTCTGTCCGTATGTATGTATGTATGTATGTATGTATGTATGTATGTATGTATGTATGTTCGTATGTATGTATGTATGTATGTATGTATGTATGTATGTATGTATGTATGTATGTATGTATGTATGTATGTATGTATGTATGTATGTATGTATGTATGTATGTATGTTCATCTGTCCATCTCTATCTATATATTTGCCGGCTACGTTTCCGTGCTCTCACCAAACTCAGCTTGGATATTTGATATATATAAATTGATCATGTGATGAGCAGCGTGACAAATGTGCCTTGTGCTAAATCTTGACAAAAATGACCCTTTGTTATCGTAGTTTCATAGTGAGCATTTAAGTTCCTCACTATACTGCAAAACGTTTATTACACAACTCGCTTGTATGAAAAGCATGAATGACAGGTCACGACAGGCAGGCAGGCAAGCAGGCAAAGAACTTTATTTGAATCCGGAGACGACACTCACTCCCCCTCAAAGGCCGACATCGCCGGGCCTTTTCCACCACGGGATGGGCAGATGCATCACCTGAGCCATGTCGATACCGATGCTGATGACCTCCGAAGAATGGCGCTCACCTGCACAGGAGTATGGGCCAAAAATCACACCAATTTTTTGGACATTGGTTAACCAGCGGTAGTTTCCATGCAGCTTCAACGTTTTCTATAGCTCATCATAAATTCTTCAGTCCGCCATGGACTGAAAGAACCTCTTGTGACCGAGTTTAATTTAAAAGTGGCGTCTTCTACTAATTTTTAACACTACACACATACACATAGCCTTTATGTCACTTGCGGCGAATAAAAGTAGCCCTCAAGTCTTTTTCTAATTTTTCATAGTTTAGGAATGAGCTGACGTTTTTGGCGAGTAGTATTCTCGGACATTTGAAGAGAAAACTAATAGGCAAGTGGCCACTGTTAGTAGCACATTCTAAGGTTTGCCACGAACATAGAACGTGGCAATATATTTATAGATAAGCTTGAAATTGTGAAGTCTTATAGATTTGAGAGACCTCGGACAAAAGTAGCAACGTCCGCATTTAAACAAGATAAATTCTTGTCAATAGCTCATTCCCACAAGCGCTTTCCGCCTAAAACTGTTTTGAAACCCCAAGCCACATGATGTGAATAAATGTCTTCGGTAATTATTAAATCCTTTCTGCAGGTAGAGGACAAGTCATCTAGACTTCGTGTGTCTTGCACACCGGCCGGAAATTATGCATTTCCAAACTAAAATGCAGAACCGTCGGGTAATATTATGTCTACTATCAAAATTTCACAATATGGTGTCATACACCCATGATAGATCTTAGCTTTGTGACTAAACTTAGTTGCTATCAAAACAGCAAGTCTACCACCTCTACTACGTCTGTCCAATCGAAGTAGCCGACACTTTTTAGGTAAAACATGTGGTCAGTTGAAAGCCAGGTTTCTTGCGGTGATATAATATCCGGTGTAAGTTGTGAAGAAAGGTATGATAAGTCTGTGGCTGCAGAAAAAATTCATCTGCAATTCCACTGTAATAAGTTTAGTGAACGTATTTAGATGACAGAATCGCAGCAGAAACTGCTTGGTCCGAAATGTCGTTTTGTAAAGAGTCTTTTTCAGACAGGTTCTCAAAAAATTCCTTTTTGGACAGATACTTTTATTTGGAATGATCAGAAGAAATTTTTTATGGGGGAGATCGGGTTCACTTAGGAGCCTCATGGGAGTCCGTATCTATATCTGCACACGCTTCCTAATCATCCAATAGATCATTCTCTTCCGTAGTTTTGGAAGCTCCTGCCTCAGGAAAAAGTTATCGCTTACGTGCTGTCCCACTGTCTATCTTCTTACGCTGCGATACCGCTGATGACTGAGGATCCCAATCGTGCGTATATGCTACCCCGAAAATTCGGGACTGTTGATTTGAAACCAATTCTGCCAAGATTACGAAAAGGTTGTTTGCGAAACGTTCCATTACCATTTCCGTAGCCTTCTCTATGGCCTCTGCGATAGATGTCGCGAGAGATACATTCATGGCGGTGGTATTACGTTCTGCAACGCCTGGATATCCTTTAAATTTATCCTGCATTTCTGGATTTGCTTCTCTCCAAGAGCACCGCTTGCGTTCTCCAATATCCAATACAGCAAGTTACCTTTCTTTTGCTGCACAGTCTGCAGAATGCACCCCTTTACATAAGCAGCACCACTCCTTCGCAGAGCTTCACTCGCGCCTGTCATAATTTTCTCCAAACAGGCAGCATCAGAATACTTGTCAGCACCATCTGACGCTATGTCCACATCGCTAATATTGCAAACACTCTAGGGGTTTGGGTGAAAGTGGCTCTATCCTATAGATTAGTGGCCATGTCTCAATTTCTGAAGGTTGGACTGTCCCTTAAAAGGTCACTATCACCGATTCCGTTGGGGATTTTTAGTTGTCGGTTGTACGGGTGCACTTGTACACTGAAATTATACCCGCCACCGAAAGCAAATCCAGCACTTCTGCAGGCGTCAGGCTGGTATTTACTCCGCGGACTAAACCTTCCGAGAATTGAAGGTGGACTGGAACAAATAGGCTCACCGGATACGCTGCAAACTCGGAACATCGCAGGAGCTCACAAATGCATTCCTGATCTGCGGAACAGCAGGGGATGCCTCCGCGACCAAACTGGCGGACCTCGGTGATCTCCTGGAAATGTGAAGTGGCTTTCCGAAGCTCCACTTGAATCGCCTTTGGCTTCTTCATTGGGATAGTGCCCCCATCTGTAGGTACCAGAGCCACGGGGACACTGCTCGCCCCACTGCGTAACAAAAAGTCAATCGGCCAATCCTTGGCCGGAGTGGAAGCTAACCAAAGGGAGTGCCCTTGACCGGGAGATGAAAATGACAGCAAGATCGAATGACTGGCTTCAGCTGAGAAAGACGGATACATTTACCAAAAACAATGAGCTCTCAAGGAGCAATAAGGATACTGCCGCCTGATCCTAAGCCCGGGCAGCTTCTTCACAGTCGAGCTTCTTCACAGACACAAAGCGGCTTCTTCACAGCGACGAACATCCACAGTAACAATCCTTTGCTTTGCTTTGCTTTGCTAGATACATGGCACGTACCCACTTTAGGGTAATGGCCAAGAATGCAACATAGAGACTGTCAAATGGTATTTTAGGTAAGCTATAAATTTTCAAATCAAAAATTCATAAATTAAATGGCAATAATACGTGAAATATTCAATTTAAGTACAAGTAATATGCTTTTGAGCCTGTATTCCACAGTACCGTTATACCCTGACGGGAATAATTTTTAAAACTTAAGTTTCAGCTTGAGGAAAAGACGAAGAATTTCAAATACCCGATTAAAATGGTACTCGTTGAGTAGTTATATTGAAATTACACACGGCAAACCCTTAGCTGGTGTTCTTTATCTTTGCTAGTGAGAAGAGATCACCAGTGCTGCTCCATATATTTAGCCTTTCGCGGTCGTAAGCACGGTTCTTACCCGTTTAATTACGCTATAAAGTGAGTATAGGTTCCTTGGTGCTTATTTTTTGTGAAATCGTACTTGGACTAATACGTCGAGTATGTTACTAGGATATCCTGTATATTGTCACAGGTATAGACCGCTGCCCAGTATATGACATGAGATGATCACTGCAAGGATAGAAAGATTCTCCCTTAGAATGTTTCAAACCAATCTTGTTTTTCTTGTGAAATGTCATTTTATATATTTAGTTTTTTCATTTAAAATACTGAAAAATGGTTCGTGACGTTTCTGGTGGCAAAACATGAATCATCCCATGTGCCCTGTCACGTGACTTTGTGTTAATGAACGCAGTCAACGATTTCCTTCTCAGTACTGAAATATTGTTTGCTTCTTTATAGAAGAAGAGGTAACATTCCATGACTATATATGTATAGGTCTTCTGTGGTAGTATGCTTTAAATTGGCGTTGCCTTCGCGTGACGTCCCATGCTTTTCAGAGCGCCTTAAGCAGCTTCAGCATTTCGCGTGCGCTTGCAACTGCGCACCGTTTATATCCATTGATTTCATGTTTTGACGTTCCATTTACGTTCGTAGTCTACACAGGTCAAGTGATACCAAACTTGGTATTTGTGAGCCAAGCGACACGACCGCAAGCGCATGATTAGTGTGATATGTTGTCATGCTCTTACATGACACGCGTGGCATGATTATTATCTTTACACCAGTTATATACATTCGCCACCCATTAACGTGACGTAATACCAAATTTGGTATACGTGAAGCTAGCCAAACGGCCGTGAGCGCATCATGAGTGTTGCATGTAGACATAATGTTACATGACACGCATGTCAATATTATAATGTTTTTGTCAGTCAGATATCTTGGTCATTCATTCACGTCACGTGGTAGCAAATTTGGTTTATGTGAAGTTAGCCAAACGACCGCAAGTGCACCGTGAGCAGGGCATGTAGTCAGGAGTCGTGACTTTCATGACATGAATGTCATGATTTATAGGTTAGGGTCCATCACTTGTGTTCGCCCTGCAGTCCTGTCATACCATAAAGGTTTCGTAACATGTCATGTGAACAAAACCACTGCAAGAGCAGCAAGACTATGAAATGTAAATTATGAGATTCATGACATACATGTCATATTTTTATGTTATGACAAGTCATTCATGCTCGTCATACCGTCATGATATGGTATACCAATTTTGATATCAGTACATTTATCGGAGCGGCCAGAAGAGCTTGAGGTCACAGATAGATAGATAGATAGATAGGTAGATAGATAGATAGACAGATAGATAGATAGATAGATAGATAGATAGATAGATAGATA